TTATGTGCGGTCGTGTGTACAAAAGTGTCTGGTGGTACAGTGAACCTTCCAGATGCACGTGCGCTCTGCGCCACGAGAACGCTATTTCGCTCATTTCGCTAGCCGGCACTCGAGTGCCGGGCCTGCACGCCTCGTTGCATAACAACAAGTGTAGGGGGAGTCTGTCATCGTTCAGTCGTACCGAAACTCTCTCCGGCCTTATGTACCCGTTCCCGGGAATGTCACGCACGCCGTATTTCTTGATAGTCCCCCGGTATATTTATCTCTGTGTAAACAAGGCTTGACAGACTGTGAACACTTTTTTCTCTGCCCTCCCGCCTCCGCCCGTAACCAGCCGAAGAATGTTTCCTTTGTATTAACATCCGTTTGTTTTTCTAATCATTTTCGATCTTGCCGGAAAGAGGGCTTTAAGGTGTACATTTGAATCTACGGATTCAGCCAGGGAAATCGTTGTTTCCCAAGGTGTATTGATCAAGTAATTTCAGATGTGTGAAGTGTGTTTATATGGGATATCGACACCCGGTTACGTAATGCTCCAACGCCCATTTGTGGGTCACGGGGGATGATCCGGGCGCGGGCGGAATGGAGTAGTAATCGTTGGTAGTTTCGAGTTACCTGTTTATTTGGGAAAATTGTTGAATGTAGGAAAAATGGAAAAATGTCCGTTAAATTATATGCGTGAAGAACTATTAGCATTTTGGTGTTGAAATTGGAAAGAAATTTGGAAAGTGGAGGCAGTCGCATTATTTAGTGAACGGTTTATTTATTTATTTAACACGTTCGCTACCAGCGTCACACATTTGTGACAAGCGCAATCTTATATTTTACATAAAGCAAGTGAAATTAATCTTATAGATATTGTTATTTAAAGTTATAAGCTACGGCATTATATTTAGGAGCTCAATAACTTGTTCCAGTTTCATTTTTTCGTTATTTTGTTTAGAAGATTTATTGGATTGAATAAAGTATTACAATTGAGGAGGACCTTACTGAAATAAACGCTGGTAGCGAACGTGTTGAGGGAATAGGAATCGCGAGGGAGAATTGGAATTACAGTTGATTCGGAGAGTATAATAGACAATTTGACGATATCCTTTACTAAGACACCTTTATTTACTTTTGCGAGGGATGTATGCTCTACGCATATTTGTTTTTAAATTTTTGCTGTGATCGACTAATTTCGTTTTATACAAGGTGGATTGGTAATAGCAGTATAATCGAAGTAAGAAGTGATTCTATTTTCGAAGGCAGTAAAAAGATTTCACGTGGAATTTCCCCGTTCGAAATTTTATTGCTTACTAATTAGTTGATTAAAAAATTGATAAATTTATCATATAAATGATAAGTCACATATAACGAATACGAAAAGCACAAAACGTTGATTGTTCGTTATTTGTTACATAAACAGAAATATTATGCAGTAAAATATTGTTTCAAATAAATATAAGAAAATATTTAAATAAGAACATAAAATCACAAGAATGTTCGGATGAAACGTTACGGATTGTTTCTGTTTATCATCTATTATTCAAATGAATGTTTGCATACCGTTTTTTATACGAAATTGTTTCCTTGATCTTTCAACATATGAGAACGCAATTGCCCGACAGAGGAAGAAAAAACCAGGCAGTTTGAAAGGTGTCTCAAGAAAATACTCGCTAACTTTTACCTTTTTTTCTTGATTCTGGTTGAAAGGCATCGTTCGACTTTCTCGACCTTGATCGTATGATGTTTGTTCCACGTCGATGCTTTTTTTTCCTTTTTTTTTAATTGAAAGAAGTCTTTGTCTGCGAAGCTGCTGTTTCCTAGACGAGCCGAAATAGTTTTCCGGTTCGGACGCACACGATGAATATGTATCGCGCGGGGCGCAATAAATCGTCCTGCAAACCAGCATTGCTTACAAAGAGACTTTCGGTCAGTGTCAATGACGCTGACTTTGGTCGTACAACGTACTCAGCGAAATAACCAAAAAATGAGAAACTTGGAATCACGTTTTTGATTAGTCTTCTTTGCTTTAATAAAATTAAATCATTTTGCGATGAAGATTTCAAACCGAATTCATTAAATATAAATACAAACCCTGTTCTGTAAGTAGGGAAGAAATTATATTTCTCCGGTATATCTATCAACCTAGATATAATCTTTAGAGAAAGGGTAGGCTTATAATAGAAATCCATTTATATTCTAATAAATCATGAACGATGTAATGCCATTGATAAACAATTGCAAAAAAAAGTTATAAGACAAGGGGTTGATTTCAATGCATTCTACATCGTTGAAAGAAGTAAAATGCTGTTCATATTGACTGGTTTTTAAACTACTCTTAAGATTGTACACATTGAATTTTTACGAACTATCCCCAAGTGATTAATCGAAGTTTTGCCCGACCAATGGACTCCCAGACGTTCTTGTAAAATATCGAAAGGCGGTTCAATTATTACGTTGGGGGTTATTGCGTGGCCAGTTGTATCGATTATCGACGATTGTTTCATCGCTGGATTTTTCTTTTTTTCCATCCCCTTCGTCGCTTTTTTGCCGACCTTCGGGGAGATCTTCAAAGTATCGAGAGGACCAGCGATCGATGGCTCTCCTTTTTTTTATCCCTCCATTCTCAGCGTCTGGCATTTGCATCGAAATGAAAACATCCCTATTTGATGGCCGATCTCCATCACGGAGACCTTTTGTCTTTGCTCGGCCAACGAATGGACGTTCCTTGTACCATGAATTTGTACACATCCGCTATTTGCGGCGTATTTGCGTGAACCTACGACCGTTTTCAGCGTGCTGCTACCTCGAGCCTCAATGCCTGGCGTCTTGAGCATGATACTAAGCAGTCTTGCTCTCCACAGGCTTTTGGAACGGTTATACTAGTACGCGAGACGGTAGTCTGTCGATAAAACGCAGCTTTACGGCATTACGGCATAGTTTTAATTTTAGACTCTCAATTTGATTAATCGGTTATATGATACGTCCTGTTTTTAAATGAATATCAGTGAAAAAAATGTTGTATTGATTGCTTATTTTATATTTCAAGTGGTATTAATATTTTGAAAATTATTTCACTGATATTATCATTGTAAATTGAAATAGTAATTTTTGGCATACTCTTTTGATCCAAAATGTTTTTTAATAATAAAAATAAACATGAGATTCAATATTTTATAATCAAAATAATGATAGTTTCGTTAGTATATAAAAAAAGTAAACGGATGTGTGTTAAAGTATCAAGTGTATATTAGTAATTTTAGATCATTCAATTGTTTCATTAGATTTGATTTACAGTACTTGATATGTCACTATAAAAATTAATTTTTAAGTAAAAGAAAAGTGTATCATACTCTTCTTTGAATTAACATTCTCTAAATAACATAACAAATAAAGCAATTTTATTTCTCAATTTTTCTAAAAAAATCCAGGAAGATTCAAATCCAATTGACGCAATTTATTGCTTTTCATTTTCCGTACAGTTTGCTCTGGGGCATAGTTAAATAACACTGCTGACAACACGGTTGCTTTTT